AAGGACCTGGTGATTGCGAAGATCTGTCGCCCAGGCTGGAGTGCAATGGTGCGATCTCGGCTCACTGCAACCTCCGCCTCCCGGGTTCTAGCGATTCTCCTGCCTCAGCCTCCTGAGTACCTGGGATTACAGGTGCCCACCACCAAACATGGCTAATTTTTGTATTTTTAGTAGATATGAGGTTTCACCACGTTGACCAGGCTGGTCTTGAACTCTTGACCTCAAGTGATCCGCCTGCCTCAGCCTCCCAAAGTGCTGGGATGACAGGCGTGAGCCACTGCCCCTGGCCTGGAAGTACTTTGGAAAGGCAAAAGTCCTTTGCATTATTTTATGGTTATCTTTGCTATCCTCCCCCTCCTGGAGATTGCTGATGGAGCCAGACTGAGAGGCAACCCAGGGGAGCTGCCTGCTCACTGGGAGGCAGCCGCTGTATTTTCTATCAGGCAGCTCTGTCTCTTTGGCAGGTGGGTAATCCCAGCCTGATTGAGGCTTGAGCCCAGGAGTTCTAGCCTAGGAGCTTCAGACCCAGCCTGGCGCGACATAGTGAGGACACCTATCCTCTTACAAAAAAAAAAAAAGATTAAAGGCTGGGTGCCGGCTGCTCACACCTGAAATCCAGGTCACTTTGGAGGCCCTGAGGCCAGAGCTGGCAATTACGAAGGTCAAAGAGATCGGACGACCAGTCCTGCGGCCAATATGAGTGAAACCTTCTCTACTAAAAATACAAAATGTGCTGGGTGTAGGATTGCCGCACCTGTAAATCTCCAGCTACTCTGGAGGCCTGCGCAGGAGAATTTGCTTGAACTCTGCGCGCTGGAGGTTGTCCAGTGAGCCAAAGATCGCTGCACACACTCCAGCCTGGCAACAGCGGATGAGACTACCATGCCCCCACCCATCGCAAAAAAGATCATTTCCAAGTTTCACTTTAAAGAAAGTCCATTGTGGAATCCCCCTAGACGCCTTTCGAAATTTCCCAATTCCACCTTGCAACTTAATGCATGCATGTTTTTCTTTGTCACTTCCCTTCCTGTCTTCTTCCTTTCTTCATACAATACACATCCTTCCTTCCTTCCTTCCTCCTTC